CTTGATTCTGCCACAAATTCCCCCAGCTGTGAGCCTTCCAACCTTCTAAATATTCCTTTATATGTGGTTCAGAGTTCTGGGACAATCCCCTGAGCTTGCTTGGTTGGGTATTCTGTCTTGTTGTTGGCGGAGCTCCTTTACTACATGTCCACCCAATCCGCCATCTTGTTTGTTCTCCCAGCCATTCATTTTTGCAGCATTATAAACCCAAGGCCAAGAAGGCATATATAAGAGAAAGTCATTGCACTGCACAGTTGAAATTATTTTAGCAGTGATATTTACCTGTTCGTCTTACATTTTAGGAGTAAAATTCATTAAAACTAGTAGTGCCATGTCTATGTATTTGATGTAAAAATTTCATTATATTTAAATACTCCAGAAAAACTTGATATGATTTAGGAATACATTAGCATTATTACAGGAGTTTTAAACATCCCATTTGTTTTAAGGAAAAGAATCAGAGAAAAAGTTCTTTCTACAATTGTTTTGTATGAACATGATTTCTCATCATTGGGGTCCATTTTGAATTTGAAAAGACATCAACAAAAAATCTTGGTCAGGAATTATGGTAGCCATTTCAAATAGGGACCCTGATTTAAAAAAGCAAAAAATTTGGTTCATAGAAGACTCAGACTTAAAAATTTTTAAAATACTTTATTTGGAAGTTCATACCAATTCAGTACTTAATATTGTTCCAAATTTCAGTCTTTTATTTTTTTTCCCCCTTACAATTATGTACTATAAAGAAGATGCAGTGTTTTCACCAAGTCCTGCACAGATATTGACAATGCCTGTAGCAGTCCATGTACTGGACAAATATTTCTTTTTTCCTAGGCACTTGCTTATATGTAAGACTTGTTCTTGGGCCCAGTTTCCCCGTCTGGACTTTGTCTTATGTATTTGTAGACTGTGCTAGTCTGCTGCATTGGCTCAGTTCTTAGGCCTGGTATTACTAATCTCATACATTTTTTTTACAACATTGGAACATACTGAAAAACCTTTTGGGTATTAGGTTTGGAAATTCTGGGTGGGATGGCTTCTGATTTTTCAGTATTCTGAAAGTATTTGCTTTGTGCATATTTCGTAATTGTGGTAGCTTGGTGTATACTATCAGGGAAAGTAAAAAGAAAAAGGATTATAAGCCTGTGACTTTTACATCTATACCACAGAGCCATAGTGTAAGTTAGAGGAGGGGAGTGTATGGGGGAAAGATATGAAGATAGAAATGATTGTATTCTTTGCTTTGTGTTTTGTTTTCCCCAGTTCCATTGTTTTGGAGAGAAGTTGACAGTGGAGAAGAGTGTGAAAGGAGAGCTTGATCATAAAGTGACTTGAATCATAGTGATTTTTTACTTTTTAAAAATGTCTACTGCACCAAAGGGGAAAAGACTATGTTTATCAGTTGAGATTCTTGTTAGCAGTAGAGATAGATGGACTAAATTAGGCAAAAGAAAGATTTATTGGAAGGTCACTTAAGCCTGGAGCCTTGGTGTGGCATTATAGGATAAGCATTGGACTGGAATCCACAAGGTCTGCAGTTCAAACCCACCAGCCACTCTTAGAAATTCTGTATATGTTGTAAGTTGGAATCTACTTGACGGCACACTACAACTCAAGCTTGAGAAAGACAGTAACCAGAGTGACTGAACAGCTACTGCTTGTGGGCCTTTAGGGTGTCCTGTTGTAACCATGCTCTTGCTGTCTTCTGATTAACCTAACTCTATCATGTGTTTAACCCTATGGTGGTAGGTATTGTTCTGGGAGAGGGAGATAAGAATTTCTAGGCAGACAAAAGCAGTAACAATTACATTATGCAACTGAAGATTGCTGTTTGGCTTACATTAACCCAGTCAAGAATTCTGTTTACAGGTCTACTTAAGTTTATGAATCTCTGTTAAATTACATGAAGGCTTTTTTTTTTTTTTTTTTTCCTTCCTGTCCCTATGAATCAGAACAGACTTAACAGCACTTAACAACAATTGTGTATAGTATGTAGTAGATGTTCAATTTATTGAAAGCTTTTTAGCTCTGTTCACTACTTTATTTCTTTGTTTCCTACCTAGGTCATTCACCTACAATTTTGCTTATTTTAGATTATACTTGTTAACTTCAGATTATGTTTAGAAATGAAAAGCCTGGTGTTCTGAAAATGTGATGAAGTACATAACCTCAGAGAGAGACCCATCTCCCGTAGCTGTTTCAGGGAATTTATGTGTTCTTTTCATGCCAGGAGGACTATGTTATAGTTTGGTTCACAGAAATTCATTAAGAAGCAGTACTTACACTGCAATAAGATAAGGCCCGTAGTGATAGTCTTTGATCAAGAAAGGTGACCTCATTTGCTTGACAGTAATGTAACTTTACTAGTGGAAATATAATATGATGTGACCTCTTTTTTGCTGTTGTTAAGTGCTGTTGAGTTGGTTCCAATTTATAGCAATCCTATGTAGGGTTTCCAAGAAGCAGCTGTTGGGTTTAAACTGCCAACCTTGTAGTTCATAGTCCAGCAATGCTGATTTTATAGCGCCAAGAATATTTGAAAATTATTCTGATACATGATTTAGAAAGGACTTTGTTGTTGTTGGTAAGTGCCGTCAGTTCTGACTCATAGCAACCTTGTATAGGGTTTCCAAGGCTTTTAACAATTCTTTGTGGGAACAGAAAACCTTATCTTTCTCCCCTTGTCTCAAACAGCAGACCTTGTAGTTCACAGTCTAGTACTTACCTTATGGAGCCCCACCACACTCCCTGGAAAGGACTATATATGGGAAAATTGAGTATACGAATTGACACCAAAAAACTTAATTTGAGTCTCACTGGTTGTAATCTTGGCTAAGTTGATTATTTCTTTTTGTACTTCATTATTCTCATAATGAAAAGGACAAAATGACACTTGTTCTGCCTATCTCCCAGAGCTATTCTGGGCCTTAATTTTTTAGTTTGTAATTGGCAGGGAGGGTATGTGTGGTAGTGGTGGTGGTGGTGATGTGTGTGTGTGTGCATGCGCGCTTGCCTTTGGAGGCTTTAAAATTTTAACTTTGGAGTGTTTTGTTTAAAACTGCCGATGAGTTTCTAGGTGTGCTTTTTTCTTTGCAATGTTCCTCATAAGACATCTCTTTTCCTTTAAACAGGCAACTGCAGTGGTGCAGAATGGCTGACCTCAGTCTTGTAGATGCATTAACGGAGCCATCTCCAGAAATTGAGGCAGAGATAAAGCGGGACTTTATTGCCACATTGGAGGCGGAGGCCTTCGATGATGTTGTGGGAGAAACTGTTGGAAAAACAGACTATATTCCTCTCCTAGATGTTGATGAGAAAACTGGGAACTCAGAGTCAAAGAAGAAGCAATGCTCAGATACTAGCCAGATTGAAGATGGTAAGTATTTTACACCATACTGGATATATTGTACTAGTTTTGCTGTTTTCAGAATGTAGATTAGGGATTATGCTTTTGGTCATAATCTTAGAAACATTGAGAAAATTGGCTTGAGTCTTTTAAATATAATAATGTTGTCTAAATTTCTTTGTTAAAGACCAAGTAGATAGACTCATCACCGTTCAGGTAAGGGTGTGTTTATAAAGCTGTAGATTATTTTATAATGCAAATTTTATTCTAAACCCTGAAATAATATTCTAATAAAAATACTAAAATAATTTCATATAAAAAGCACATAGGAATATGTTCTCCTGTTGTATTGACTGTTTACAGTTTGATTTTTCTAGACCTTTTATTTATAATCATAAGCAAATATATAGCTTTTAACTGACTTGACGGCACTTAACAACAACAACAACAACAATACTGTATGGAAGGAGCTCTGGTAGTGTAGTGGTTACGAGTTGGCCTGCCAACGTCAAGGTCAGCAGTTCGAAACTACCAGCGGTTCCACGGGAGAAAGATGAGGCGTTCTGCTCCCGTAAAGATTTACAGCTTCGGAAACCCTGTCCAGGGTCACTGTGAGTCGGAGTGACTCCACGGTACTTAACAACAACAGCAACGTACTGTAAGGAGCTCTGGTAGCGTAGTGGTTATGAATCTGGCTGCAAACCGCAAGGTCAGCAGTTAGAAACTCCGAGCTATACCGTGGGAGAAAGATGAGGCTTTCTACTCCCATAAAGATTTACAGCCCCGGAAACCCTGTATAGGGTTGCTATGAGTCAGAACCGACTCCACGGCACATAACAACAAAAACATGCAGTTAAGTATTGTGCTATTTATTCTTTTCAGTTACTGATGTGTTTTGTAGAGCTGTCTGTCAACAAGCACAGCTGCATCATTCATTATCCTGTGCTACTTTGGAGGATTCTATACTATGGATGCAAATATAGTAAGGTTGTTAAGACTAACATTTACCTTTCATGAGTGACCAATCTTTTAATTTGCATTTTTCTACTAGTAAGGTTGAACTTTTTTTTCATATTTTTATTGCCCATTGCTTTTCTTTTATGAATTGTCTGTTTTTATGCTTTGTCCATTTTTCTATTAGGTTATCTGTTTTTTTAATTTAAGATACGGATATTTTCTCCTAGCCTGCTACTTGTCTTTTGTATGATACACCTTGTGATGTCTTTTGTTATACTGAAGTTATTGATTCTTATTTAGTATTGTAGCATTTAAGTTACGCACCAAGATGTTCTAAGGCATTGTGGCTAGGCAATATTTTACATTTTCTTTAGAAATACTCACTCAATATCTGTAGGATACTGACTATTAGTTTGGTATTTACAGTTTTCAGTGTTAAATCATGCTGTATTCCTTTGAATGACTTTTTATCTTTGGAAAGCTGTGTTTTACACAATTGCTTTAATAAAAATTGAGCACCACACAAAAAATGGTTATGAGCAGGACCTTCAAACTAAGTCCAAGGTTTCAGAAGTTATATAGTGTACAACCCTTTAATATTGCTGTTATTTAAGAATGAAATATAATAGTGTTTTCAAACTGTTACTAAAGGGTTAGCACATAAATTGATTCTTTAGTGTAAATGGAGCTGTTGGACATATTTTTTGGCCTAGGGTGTCCTGAAAAATTTAAGGAGATACTAAAAGCATTATGAACTGGAAAAGATCTGCACATTTTATCCTTTATGGATGCCAAGTTTTGCTCTGAACAAAAGGCTTTTCTATTCTTATCATAAACATCTCTCAATTTTTATTAGCTTGTTTATTTTTTACCTTGTTATCAGTTCTTGGAATTTATTTTCCAGGATTATGGGAAAGCTAACATTTTTTGTCAAATGCATAGCAAATTGCCCAATGTGATTTGTTGGTTGGTCTATCCTTTACTACAGATTTAAAATTCCACTTTATTGTAAATTATCCTCTAGAGGTAGATTTTAAATATGCACTTGTTTTGCATTTTGCCTGTGCATATCTAATACTGTCATTGAGTAAGTAGTTCCATAAAGAGAATTCATGACATTTTAAAATAAAGACTACAAGTTCAAAAATCAGTATCTGCACGCCACTCTCCCTAATGCTGCACACCCAGCCACACTTTTCTTTATTACTTATTTTCTAGCTTTTATATTGTAAAATGTTAGACATATAGAAAACCATATAATAGAAACACATAACTCCAGAATAAACACTCTTATAGTAATTAAAACTTTGATTAAGAAATAGAACTTTATCAGTGCTCCCAGAAACCTCTGTGTGCTCTTTCCCAGTCAAAAAACTGTTCCCCTAACCTTAAAAGTAACCATTCTGTCCCCCCCCCATCCAAAAAAAAAAAAAAAAGCTTAAGAGGATAGAGAGAAACACTGTAAACTGATGATATATGGCGGGGATAATAATCAATGTAATGAAACAAGCTATATGAATGGTTGAATGTGAAGCTGATGATGTGCCCTGTAAACTTTCACTCAATGCAAAATAAAAACATTTAATTAAAAAAAAAAAGAATACAAAAAAAAAAGTAACCATTCCCATATTCCTAAGTGTTTTTGTAAACATCCCTCCCCCCAAAAAAACCATAGGGAAGAGAAGCAAGTACTGTTGAATGATGATGCACGGAGGAGATTGTAATCTTTGCAGTGAAACGATGAGTGTAAAACCATTGTCCTCCTATGTAAATTCTCAATAAAAACTTAAAGAAAAAAGAAAGTAATCATTCTCCTGTCTTTTGTAATGATCACTTCTTTGCTTTTGTGGATAGTTCCTTTTCTGTTTTCTTTTTTACTGTAGTGAAAACATACACATCAAAATGTCTTCAGGACAATAACTCTCACATTTATAACTCAATGACATTGGTGATATAGTTCACCAATTGTCCTCATGCAAAATACTCCATCACTTTAACATAAACTCAGTACTCAGAAGCAACTCCTTGCCCCCTAACCATTAAATAAATAGTCTTTGGTTTCTATACAACGGGCCTTCAGAAAGTTCATGGAAAACCTCATTATCTTTTAATTCCATTTTCATGAACTTTTTGAAACTCCCTCATATATTTGTTTATTTCATATAAGTGAGATCATACAGCATCTGCCCTTTTGTGACTGACATAATTTTACCCAGCATAATGTTTCAAGGGTTCATTTATGTTATGGCTTGCATCAGGATTTTATTGTATGTATGTGCCACATTTTTATGTTCATTCATTTATGAATGGCCACTTTGGTGATGATTTTCACCTTTTGGCTGTTGTGCAAAGTGCTGCAGTGAACAATGGCATGCTGGTTTCTGTTTGTATTCCTGCCTTCACTTCGGAGCATATACCTGGGATTGGGACTACTGGGTCATATGGTAATTCATTCTTTAACTTTTTGAGGAACTACCAAACTATTTTCCACAGTGGGTGTATTCTTTTACATTCCTACTAGCAATGGATGAGGGTTCCAGTTTTTGTAAAACCTCCTAACACTTCTTTTCCTTTAAACAATTTTTTTGTTATTGTTGAGATTATATATAGCAAAACATATACCAATTGAACAGTTTTTACAAGACAACTTTTACAAATACTGTTTAGTGACATTGATTACATTTTTTGAGTTGTACAACCATTCTTACCTTCCTTTTCTGAATTGTACCTCCCCCATTAACATAAATCCCCTACCCCTTCAAGTTTCTTTCTAATCTTTCAAGTTGCTGTTGTCAGTGGATCCATATAGATAGTTCTTAAAAAGAACATAATACTCAAGGCAGACTTTTTTTTTTTTTTTTTTTTTTTACTAGTTAAGTTAAACTATTATTTGGTTTTTAAGATTTCAGGAATATTTTTCGTTTAAGGTTTAAAGATAATCTCAAAGCATTAGTTTCAGGTACTGTCCTACATTCCATGGCTCCATAAAGTGTAGTTGTTGTTGTTACGTGCCGTGGAGTCAGTTCTGACTCATAGCGACCCTGTACAGGGTTTCTGAGGCTGTAAATCTTTACAGGAGCAGAAAGCCTCATCTTTCTCCCGCGGAACAGCTGGTAGTTTCTAACTGCTGACCTTGAGGTTCGCAGCCCGATTCATAACGACTACGCTACCAGAGCTCCTTAAAAAGTGTAGAGTCCATGAGAATTTGAAATTCTGTTCTGTATGTTCCCCTTTGATTAGAATTCTTGTAACTAATTTTTGATCAAAATGTTTGGTGGGTACCATCAAGTTCTTCTGGTCTCATCATTAAGGAGGCAGTTATTCATGGAGGCAATTAGTTACCCATTCCATTCTGTAGCATCCTATTCCTGACTCTGTCTCCCTCTGTGCTCCAGGTGAATAGAGACCAATTCATGTGCTTTGGATGAGTACTTCTAAGCTTTTAAGATCCCAGTCACTGCACACTGAGCTAGGAGTAGAACAGTAGCACTAAACACAGTGTTGGTTGTGATGTCCCATGAAACCCTGACCCTAATCCTCCAAACCAACGAACCAAATCCCAGGAGGTTTTTGGTTATACATAACCAGCCTCAGCAGCTACTCATTTTTTGATAGGGAATATTGTTGCAATTATGTTGCACAGTTTTTGCCAGTTCAGCTTTTTACAGGTCTACAATATATTGACACCAATTACAATAATCTGCTTTACAACCTTAGCCTTAATCAGTGAGATAATTATATCACTGTTAATCCTTCTTTCTCCCTCCTTCCTGCTCCTGGTAGCCACTAATAAACTTTGTTCTGTATACCTTTGTGTTTTCTTGGGTTTTGTTGTTAATTTATTTTTAATTGATATTATATAATAACTGTACTTGTGTGATTTACTTTTTAAACTCAGCTCAATTTCTTCCAACTCCATCCATATTTCTAACGTGCAGCTTGAGGCAAAAGGAAGAATACTCAATATTTCTCAAGCTGATAGTACTGAAGAAAAACATCATGCCTTGGATTACAATATTGAAGGATTTTACGGGTAAAATATTGAATAATGTAGAAAGCATCAAAAAGGAAAA